GTAAACGTCAATGGGCAATATATGTCAACATTGGTTATATCTAACTGTACTGTAATCACCGCATCGTGTTCAATGTTTATTTTGGTAGTAGAAAATAACGAAGAAATTCAAAATAATTTGTCATTTACTGTACAGTCAATACTATGTCAACAGTGAATAACGCTGGTTGACATTAGAGTAATAGGTAGTTGTTTAAATCAATATGCTTCATTGCTGCTTTTGTCTTTTGGAAAGTATTAGTAGTTATCTTTTATGCCTTTCAATTATCTTTCAATCTACTTTCTAATTTATTAATTATATTTGTATGAAATTTACAATAAAAATATTTAAAAATTTTCTTTTGAAGAAAATTTAAACAAAATGATGGCTATATTTTAATAAATTATATTTAGTATATTTTAAACCATTCTAATTTTAAATCAATTTATAAATATATTATATTTATTGATTTATCAAATATTTTAGGTTGCATGGAAACTCTCTCTGAAATATGTTTTCTGTTTCAGAAACGAAAATTCTTGAAAACTTGTTGGATACATAGTTTCCTGTATTTCTTACTCATTTCAGTTTAGAAATGTTTTGGAAATGCTATGAAAAATTATTTTTGTCTTGGATATAATAATGGATTTAGATGGTTGATTTATCAGATAAAATTAATCTTGGTATTACTAAATTTGATGATTTGTTCGATAAAATTATAATTGGAAATAGTTTTATTTGATGTATCTAATGAATATAATGATAAAAAAAATTTCTATATTTTTGATTTTAAACGTTATGGTGTTGAACGTAGCAGAGTGGCTAACATTTTCATTATATTTGGAGTAATATGAGATCAGTATAGAGTTTGTTTCTTTTTCGATAGCTCAGAATCCATACGCGCAGAATACAAAAGCGGACAAGTTAGCACGGAATGCTCGGACATGCCTTTATCATCTACATTATGTAAATTTAATTCCACCAGCTTGGCTAGCTGAACTGTTCTAGGAAGATGAAGCTGTTGACCAACAAAAAACGTTATGACTTCTATCTCTAGTTAAATTATTTAATATTTAAATATTTTATTTGTAATAGAATTTATATGTTTAATTTTTTGTGCAAATGTTTAATGTTTAATATATACACATATATACATTTTTTAAACATTTTTATTTCTAATTTTTTTTTAGAAAATTAGTGTTATCATATTTTAAAATATATCAATTTTGCGTATTTATTTCTGTTTTTATATAATTTAGAATACAAATAAATAGATTTTATTAATTTATAAATGTCAAAGTTTTGTTTGTGGTAAATGATAAACTATCAGAGATAGATAGAAAATGATCTATTTGTCCGGGAGCAAATTTCAGGATGCCACGTGGGGGTATGTTATTCGTCTGGAAAGTGAAGCTGTGACTCCGAGTTTTGTTCTCTGGGAGAAAAACGGCGACGTTCTGGGGCGGAAGCTACTTCGGGTCCTGACAGTGGGATAGTAGATAAGTTCGACTCTGCAAATGTTTGGGGATCGAGACATCTATATGTTTATAAGTGTTTCGAGGGAGTTCTATATTGAAAGGAGAGGGTTCCGGGTTAAGAAGGGACTTATCCTAGTAGGCATCATCTCGAGGGAACAAGGACGTTCTCTCTTGATTATGTTGGTCGACGGTACAAGTTGGTTGGAGGCGGCCGGGTTTCTCCTACTTAGATCGGGTTTCCAGAGCCCGATCTTTTATTTGTGTGGGGATCTCTCTTCTTTTATACTGGCTTTATCCCTGTCCAGTCCTCTCCATTCGGTGCGTCAAAGAAACAAGTAGGCTAATGATTCATGCGTATTTGGAAAAGCGTGCCAACTGTCCGGAAGCAGTACGCATGAGTTGTTCGGCCGAGCTAGTATGGGTTATGTCAGTGTCTAGAGTAGTTTGATGTCCACGTGTCGCGTTGCCTTTGGAGACAGTACAATCGGTCACAACACTACTGTATATTAAAAGAGAACCATTAGATGCCATTTTTGCTGATATGTCAACACCCTAATTTTTTTAATCTATTTAAATTAATAAAAAATAATTATTATTAACATTTTATTTCTTAATCTATATGTTAACACTAATTGCTGAACATTATTTGAGATAACTAAAAATTTGTTAACAATAAATCTAAAAACATATGTTCAATAAAAGTAATTAGAAAATAAATAAGTATATTATATTTGTATATAACAGAATCTAATATGTAACTAAAATCAATTTTATTTAATAATCATTTTATTTTTATTCCGCTTAGTGCATAAAAGGGATAAAATTAAAATTTGGGGTTTGATCCTGATGATTATAAAATTAAATTTTGGGGTTTGACCCTGATGATTTGTTTGTATAAATTTTCTACATTTCGGATCTATATTTTTGTATCACGTGTTCAAGTTGACAAAAAATAAAATATATAGATCACGTTTTTAACTTGTAAGTTTCCTGGAAGTTCACTACCCATGCTTTTTGGTGGGAAAAAAAAAGAATTATACCTTTTATGTCCCTCCTAGTATAATGAAAGACGAAAACTCAACAACAACCCGAGGCATCTTTCACTTATAGTATTTTCTATAATTGGGTAAACCTGAAATAAATTGCAAAATCCAAAAAATTATTAGTGTTTTTAAAGGATAATAATAATTGTTTAAGAATTATCCATTTGAACATCTAAAATTTATCATACAAAAACAATTCATAAAAAAATCTAAATTTTTTTTTTTTTTCATAGTGCATGAGAAAATCAATACGACTGTATCCCAACATAGTTATTAACATTAAAATATTATTTTTTTGCTTTTGAGGTTTGACTTAGTTTTTTTAAAAAAGTAAAAAATTAAAATCAAGATTGAAGGTGATTTTCTTAGAGTTGGATACGGTTTGAAGTATCGTATTCAAACTGAATTTTAGAGTGATTTGTTCAAATTGTATGTTAATTAAACATGAATTTTAAAATATTATTTAAAATTTTGTGTTATTGAAATTGAATTAGTGATTTGAAAATTTTATCTTCAAATCTATTATTAGTAAACATATTTTAAGTAGTAGATTTAAAAAGATTATAAATAATTTTAAGTAGTTCTGGTGAAGTTTGTTAGTTTAAAATATATAGAAGCAAAACTCAAAGATTTATGTAGGATTTCATAAAAATTTAATAACAAATCATAAAAACTTTTCTAGCTAATTGATCCAAAATCATCTAAAAGCTCAAAAAAATTTTAAATTCTTCCGAATTATATATTGACTTTTATATATTTTGGATACATAAGTTTTTGGGTCTCTACTCGTTAATTTAAAAACAAAAACAGTGTTATTCTACAAATCATAAAACTGTAAATTCTCAACAGAATAACAAGTTCTGAATGCAATTTCCAAAAAAAAAAAAGAGTGGTTGGGATCGATGATGAATTAACTTTGTTGATATCGATGAAAATAAACGACAAAAAACCAATTTTATAGAGATAAAGTAATGTTATTTCAAATAAGAACTAATTAGAGTGGATAAGATTAATGGTGAATTCATTTTGTTAATATTGCTTGAAATAAACGATCGGAAAAAGAACCAGTTGAATAGTGATAAAAAAAACTGTTTAGCATAAGAAATATATAGAGTTGGTGAGATTGATCGTGAATTCATTTGATTAATCTCTCTAAAAATAAACAGTAAAAACAATTGTATAGAAATACATAAAATACTATTTTAAATAAAAAATAAAGAGAGTGGATGTTATCCATGATTAATTCATTTTATTGATATGGCTGAAAATAAAGAACCAAAATTAAGTCAAACCAATTGATTGGAGAAGTAACCAATTGAATAAAGATATAAACTACCGAAACATAAATACTTATGATATCTTATATTTAAAAGAAGATTTTTTTAAACAACTAACATATCACAATTTATATAAGAAAAATTATTTAACAATAAATCAACATATTTTAAGATAATAAATAAACTAAAACAATATTTGGAATTAAAATAAAAACAAACAAAATTAAATATAAAAAATAATAAAAAATAAAAAATAGAATAAAATAAATATAATAGTAATATAGATATATAAAATTATAAAGTAAAAAACTAGATTAACCGCAGGTTGATCTCTAGTTATCCCAAATTATAAATTTAATACACCCCCATACTAAGCTAATATTATTTTTTAAATTTATCTCCTTTTATAGAAACAATATTGTCAAAAAAAAAGTTTATAATTTGGAGATTTGAATCTGACCATGTCTAATATTGCGCAGCTCATACAACACCAAAGAATCTCAGTCTTGTTTACAACATTTTAGACTGTGTCCAAATCTGGATTATTTATCAAATTTATAACTTAAAAACAAAAAACTTTAAATATAAAATCATAAACTAAAACCATCGAGCTAAAATGTTTTTAAAATATTAAAAAAAAACAATAAGGAATAAAGTACAGTGAAAGTTTTCATAGTTGCTAAAGTGATTTTATTTTGGAGAGATGAATTATGTCTCAAAAACGGCATTTCAACTGTTAATACTCGATTATGGATTAAAAATTCAAAATTTCTAAATTTATCAAATTTTATTTTTAAGCTGTAAAAAACAAACTAGGTTTAAAGTCATTATAAAAAAAAAACAAAAACAAAAAATAGTTTGGTCACATATTTCAAAAAAAAAAAAAAAAAAACAATGTTTTTTTTTTTTTTTCAACAAAGTAAACGTTCAATAAAAGATATTTGGGCAATTTCCTCTTCCGCGTAAACTCTCTCTTTGGGAGACCAATCTTTTTATTTTTGGCCAACAACCAAAAGTCTTAAGTTCTGAGTCATGACCTATCTTATTTTATGCCTGCGGACCCTACGCTTTGTGTTTAAACTTAGCAAATAAACACTATTATATTAATAATATTTAAAAAATGTTCTATGAAATTGACCATCGGTCCAAAACCGTCAGCTAACGATGCCAATCATCACTATATATGTACTCACCATCTTTATCTCTAAGCATATAATACATTACCACAGTTCCAAAACTCAAAGCAAACCCCATAAATCCATAATCACAAACACCTTTTGTTTTCCTCACATTCTTAGCACTCGGTATTATTCTCTTCTCAGATTAGTCATTCAGAGTTATCAGCTTTTTCTCTTTAAGTAAGAAAAGGAAAAAGATGATGTTACCAGAAGCATGCGTAGCCAACATCCTTTCATTAACATCTCCGGCAGACACATTCTCGTCGTCAGAAGTCTCTTTGGTTTTCTGGTTAGCCGGAGACTCCGATTACGTATGGGAAAAGTTTCTGCCGTCCGGTTACAAAAGCATCATCTCTCAATCCACTGATTATCATTGGAGTGTCTTATCCAAAAAAGATATTTATCGATGTCTTTGTGATTCTCTTCTGATCGACAATGCTCGAAAGGTTAGATCTTTATAAGTTACTTAATTTTTTAAAATTTTTTATTTGGATTTAAACTAATAATATTTTTCTCTGATGCAATTTCAGCTTTTCAAGATCAATAAATTCTCCGGAAAAATTTCGTATATTTTATCAGCAAGAGATATATCTATAACTTCGAGCCACCAAGAATCCTACTGGTCTTGGAGCAATGTTTCAGATTCTAGGTGAATTTCCTTTTTTTTTACTTTCAATAACTATTTATGCTTTGTGTAGATTTCAAAATTTTATTGTATCTAAAATGCTTCTTTTAATCAACTTCAGATTTTCGGAATCGGCTGAACTTATAACAACGGATCTGCTAGAAATCAAGGGTAAAATCCAAACCGGAATTTTATCACCGAACACAAGATATGGAGCATATCTCATAATGAAAGTAACTAAACGTGCCTATGGACTAGACCTAGTCCCAGCAGAGATTTGGATAAAATCAAGAAATGGTCAAATTGTTAAGAACACAACTTATTTATGTTGCGTGGATGAGAAGAAACAACAGTTGAAGCGGCTGCTTTACGGAAACAGAGAAGAGCGAATGGCGACAGCTGTGGAGGCAGCCGGCGGGGACGGGAAAAGGAGGGAGCCAAAAGGTAGAGATGACGGATGGATGGAGATTGAGTTAGGAGAGTTTGAGACACGAGAAGGAGACGATGATGAGGTCGATATGAGTCTCACAGAGGTGAAAGGATATCAACTGAAAGGTGGCATTGTGATTGACGGTATTGAAATCAGGCCTAAATCTCTGAATTAGGACCAAGATGAGTATGGAATCTGGGGGTTTAATTGTTAACTTTTTAAAATATGGGAGAAAAATGAAGGGGTTTGTGTATGAAGATATTGATTTATTTGTTCATTATTAATTTATTATTGTGCATTTTGAAGAGAGTAGAATTTTCAATTTTCGATTATTTCTTTCGCTCGAGGATATTGTACAATTTGGGTTTGTATCACAAATAATGTAGATGAGAACCTGATTCAAGATAGACAGCTCTACTGCCATCATTAGTCATTAGTACGTTAGAGAAGAATCGGTAGAGACCAAAAAACAAAAAAAATATATAATCGGTAGAGTCGTAGAGACAAATGTGTTCATAATGTCAAGGATGTCGTCATCAAGATTGCCAAAGCATTGACGTGGATATAACTATTTTTGTTTACTAGGTATATAATTCGCGCTACGCGCGAATCTGTATTAATATTTTGGTCTAATTTTTTTAAGCTATTATCTTTAAAATTATAAAAAATATAACATATTTATAGAAATTTTCATTTATATAAGAGAATTTAATATATAATGTGTAATTTATCCTATTTTTATTTATAAATTTTTAAAAACAATTAGGTAAAATAATAACAATGACAACTATTGAATTAGCTAACTTTGACGCACGTATACATTTGATTTAGAGAAATATAATTTTGCTAAGATTTTGATATTATTTTTCGTTTTCTATAGAATTTATATAGTTCTTTTTTTCTTGAAAGTTTATGTGTTCAAATATTTAGTTTTTTTTATTGAAAATCTTATTGATGTTATGTACCACTGCATATATATTCTATGATTCATGTTGATTCGCATTTAATATTGTTAGGAAACTGTAATGATCATGCAAAACTATTTTTTTTTCTCCATCATGTCTTCCAAGAGTTTTATGTTATATATTTATTCAGTTTTCATTGTTTTAATTGTTAAATCGAGTTGTTGTAGATTTTTTTTTAAATTGATAATTGATAATGATTACTTTTTTTTATACATGTATTGTTAATTGTTAGTTTTTTTATTTAACTTTAAAATTTTTAAACTATATTAACATTTTCTGATTTAATAAATATGTTGATTTGGATCAATCAGATAGAATTTACTTTTTTTGTTGGACATAATTTGTTAAATTAACTTTTACTATTTTAATTATACTTAATAATTTTTGGTTTGATTTAAAAGCTGATGTAGACCAATTAAATCAAGTTTTTCCATCCTAATCATACTTAACATTTTTTTATTTAATAAATATGCTGATGTCGACCAATCATATCCAGTTTTTTAATCCCATGTGGATGCCCTCAATGCACTATGCCATCAACTTTTATATATTATATGATGATTTCTCAACTTTCTCAAATCAATACTATAATGATAATATTAGAGTCTTTATAACTTTCGCACAAAAGTAAATTTATGTAATATATTAATAAATATTATAAACTAATACTTTATATAAAAATAAATAAAGTTTAAAAAGTATAAACTTCAGAGTGAAAGATAAATATAAAAATTTCATTTTTTTTGAACTTATGATTTTACAAAGAATAAAGTCACTTATATATAGAAAAATATTATTTTATAGTAAAGTAAGTTAATGTATAAAGACAAAACATATAAATAATTAATATTCTTTAATATGCTAATATATAAAGACAAAATCAAATGGATAATCACTATTCATTTAACACTCTTCATTTGATTATCCATCAGTAATGATATATTACGTACTATCTCGTTAGAAACATTATCATGGAAAAATCTGTTTGGGATAAAAACCATGCCAAGAAAAAGAGTACAGTAACACTCCCTCTCGAAATGTTGTATGAGTATCCATCATTGTGAAGTTGTGTGCTGCCTCGTTAAAAAACTTTCCATGGAAAAACTCTTACTCAACAAATACTCACTTAAGCGATTATACCACATGCATCTGGATTGTTTTAATCCGTAAAGTGATCGCTGTAATTTAACCGCACATAGCTCTTTAGATGCTTTAGGCATCTTTGATCCTTCATGGATCTTATATCCTTCAGGGATTTTTATATATATGTCACTATCAAGTGAACCATATAGGTATGCAGTCACGAACGACATCCATTAGGTACATCTCTAAATTCTTAGAGGCCGTTAGTCTCATTAAGTACCTGAATGTGATTGCATCCATGACTGGAGAATATGTTTCTTCATAATCTATTCCCGGTCTTTGAGAAAATCCTTGTGCCACAAGACGAGCTTTATACCTTGTGACCTTATTTTTCTCATTTCTCTTTCTTACAAAGACCCATTTGTATCCAACCGGCATTACATCTTAAGGTGTAATAATTATTGGTCCGAATACGTTCCGTTTATTAAGAGAAAATATTTCATCCCTCATGGCCACTTGCCATTTATCCCGGTCATGCATTCTTTGGCACTCTGACACGGAACTTGGATCTTGATCATCATTTTCATGATCGATTTCTTTGGAAATAGTAAAAGAGAACATTCCATCATTATCTTCTATTTCACTTATAGCCCATAATTTTCCACTTTGGGCTAAGGAGATGGAAATCTCATATTTTTCTGCTCCAGATTCGTCTTCAGGACAAATCTCTTTACCTAGTTCTTCAGGAACTGGTTCAGATATGTCTTCTGGACATATACCTTCATTGGGTTCTTCAGGAACCTTTTCACAAATGGCTTCAGGATATTTCGCTTTATTTGGTTCTTCCAGAACCTTTGCTTCCAATTTCTTTCTCTTTCGGGGATTTTTGTCTTTTGATCCTATTAGCCTCCTGCGCTTTAGCTGAACCGGTTCATTTGCTCTATTTACGTCAATATGTTCTTTAGGAACATTTATCTTTGATAGAGCATTATCAGTGGGGATATAGGACTTTGTGACCCTTCTTGTATCAGTGAATGCATCAGGTAACTGGTTTGCCAAACTTTGCATATGTATAATTTTCTAAACTTCCACCTCGCGTTGGTTTGTAGGAGGATCAAGATAAGCCAAAGAGTGTGTACACCAGGTGATATCATTTGGTGATTTTCTCAATCCTCACCCTAACGCAAGGAATTCACTTTCATCAAAGTTGTAATCGGCAAATCGTACCGTGAACATATCACTAGTTGCCGGTTAAAGATACCTAATCATACTTGGTGACGAATACCCAATATATATTCAACCTTCTTTTTGGTCCCATTTTTGTTCTTTGAGGTAGCGCTATAGGGACATAGACCTCACACCTAAACACACGACGATGGTATACATCTGACTTCTGCCCAAATGCTAACTGTATGGGGGGGGGGGGGGGGGGGGGGGGGGGGGGGGGGGGAATATTCATTATATGCACTTGGTCTTACCTGGACCAATGCCCCAGCATGCAATATAGCATGTCCCTACACAATGATTGGAAGATTTGTTCTCAAGATTAACGGTCTTGTAATCAATTGCAACCGCTTAATCAATGACTCAGCCATGGCATTTTGTGTCTGAACATACGGAACCAGATGCTCAACATCGATTCCCAAGGACATATAATAGTCATTTAAGGCTGCTGATGTAAATTCACCAGCGTTATCAAGCCTGACTTTCTTTATGGCATAGTCAGGGAAATGCACTCTCAATCTGATTATTTGGGCAATGAATCTTGCGAAAGCCATATTCCTTGTGGTCAAAAGACACACATGTGACCATCTACTAGATGCGCCAATCAATACTATAAAATATTTAAATGGCCCACATGATGGGTTAATCGGCCCACATATGTCACCATGTATTCTCTCTTAAAATACAGGAGATTCATTCCCAACTTTGGCTGGCGAGGGCCTACTTATGAGTTTTCCTTGAGAACATGCCTTACATGAAAACTCTCCCGATTGAAAAATCTTCTTGTTTTTCAATGGGTGGCCACTCGAATTTTGCACAATTCTTCTCATCATGACTGAACCAGGGTGGCCTAACCTTTCATGCCACACTTGATACAAGAGTTTTGAGTCTCTTGGTCAATCACCCTTGTACTTAATCAGTTGTAGTAAGGGTTTTATGTCAATCCAAGGGGTTAAGCTAGATTCCACAATGATTAGGAGCATAATGCTTTAAGTCAAGCAAAATCAGAGAAGAAGTTGTTTAAAACTACTAAACTATCAACCTAAATGAACCATGAACCAAACAAAACTCAAGAAAGCAATACTTAGCAATGATCAAAGGCAAAACAGAGCAAGCAAAACAGAACACTTAAGCAAATTCGAAATTCAAAGATTAAAAGCAAGGATCCTAGATGTGGTTATTGACTTTAGGGAATTCAAAGGCAAGACTAAGTTGTTATCAAACTCATTGACAATGCAATCAAGCAAGCAATGCTAATTCCTAGGCATAAAGTTCACAATCAAGCAAGTTAAGTCCAATCTCTTGATAATTAACCCTTTGCTAATCATCCTAACAAGAACTAACTCTCATTAGTGCTAGAATCATTAACAAGCAAACAAAACCAACTCTATTCAATCCAAAATACTTAAGACAGCCAATCTCTTGAGCTAAGACAAGCAAATCCTCTATTAAACAAGATCAGCATTTCATCAAACACTTATTGGGCATAAGAGAAAGCCTAAATATAGATTCATGTGATCAAGATAAATCTAGCCTAAAGACAGATTAATAGAGAGGAATTAATCTAATTAAGCACTAACAAACCCTAATCAAGCCTCTAAATTCCCCTAATCTACCACATCTAAAACCCTAAAAATGACTACTCACTCATCATCATGAAAACACCAAATCACAAGAGGATAAGATGTTATACATGATTAGGAGGGAGATTAGAGAAGATTAAATAAGACAAATACAAAACTTTAATTGAAAGGATGAACTTGTTCTTACAGAAACTTAAAAGCAATCAGAAAACTAAGCAAGAACTAGACTTGGCTAAAAACCATTAGTCCAAGCCTATTTATACTAAAAAACAGATGCCCTAGAAGAATGGAAAACTTGTAAATAAAAGAGTTGGATAAGGCCAACATCGAGCACATATGCTCGATGTGGATGATCGATGTGAACTGTCTGGTGCTTGGCATTGATCAGATGATGATCGATGTGAACTTCAAGACTCTCGGGTCCATTACATCGCACGATGCTGGTGGTCAATGTGGATGTCTCGTGGCTTGACATTGATCAGTTGATGATCGATGTGGACTCCTCTGCTCTCGGCTGCTCTACATCGTACGATGTGAACTTTGTCTTGATCGATGTTGCACCGGATTTCTCCTTCTTTAGCTCCTTTTGCTCCTCCTTAGCTTGGACTACTCCTTGAATCATCCCCATGCTTCCTCATTGCTTGAAATAGCTCCTTAGGTACCTAATAACATCCTTATGCAAAGAGAATGCAAACTACAACCTAAATGCAACCTAAGTCTAAAAGCAAAGGAAAATGGGACTAAAGAGAAGGAAAACATGCAAAAGGAGACCAAAACATGAACTAAATGCAAGTCCAAATGATGTAAATACAAGAGATATCAACACTCCAAAAGTGCTGGTAAACTTCTGGTTTACCGCAACATGTGATTCAACCATGGTTATCTTTCTGCAATATAATCCAGAAGACATCATTGGTAACTCTTCCAACTGATGTTTACTCTCTGTTGTAATTGAAAGATATTCAGAGCCATTCTTATCAATAGTCTCAATATGATATCCATTTCTTGCACTACAAACTTTGTACCCCTAGGCAATGAAAAACTCGCTCTTCCGGAACCTAGTATAATCGTTGCTATACCAGTTTTAGTTTTCACGCTTCCAGTGGAGACTTTCATTTTGAGACAGGAGAAATACTTTTTATCTTTAAGTATTGTATGTGTCGTAGCACTGTCAGCTAGACAAGTATCTCCATTCCGAATCTCTAACTGTGACATCTTCTGGGCCACAATACTTATAAGAAATGCATTAACCAAAAACATCAACTCCAAAAAAGATCCTGAAGATCTTGGGAAATAAGTGGTTGGATCTCCATGCGAGAGAATTCACCCAAAGCTCGGAGTTGATGTAAATCCTCTTTGGTAGCTTAATAATATAATGAACTCGTGATGAGAAACCATCAGTTTCGTCCAACTGAATTAACTCTATTCTTAGGAAAGAATGTTGAATAGTCCACTTATAGCCAGTGTGATGGACGAATTCAATGAAAGAAAAGGATGATGGTTGAGAGGTTAAAAGACAAGGTGAAATCGCGTGCTATAGATGTCGCATGAAAAGTCATTAGGACGCACATATCGTATGCCATAACACTTAGCCGATCTATATGCTGAATTACAAAAGATCTGAATAACATAACTTAATTTGGGTTTTAGTATATATGATTATAGAAGGTATATATAGTTTTTAATATTAACCTTTTTATAAGTTGATGTTTTTGGTTAATGCATTTCTTATTTTCACATTTCTCATATTCATATGTTTTTGGCTACTTTCTTGCTAGTTTAGATCATTACTTTCACTACAAGAATTTATTAAATTAGTTACCGATTATTCCCTAGCTATCGTAGACAATCTGTCGCTACAATTAGGAAGGCTACGGATGGCGACAAATGAATTTCGTGGCCTCAGCTTCGACGCTATTCCTAATCCGTAGCAAATTTGTAGCCCACTTGCGATGAATTAGCAAGAGTTTTGACCGTAGCCGATAGCAGTGGTATAGCTACGAGTTGTTCCGTTGCTCTTTAGTGACAAATTTAGCAAAAAATTTTACGTGGCTATATGGCTATAGATGTTAGCGATAGTGTTTACATAGCAAGTTGTGGCGAATATAGCCACGAATTTGGTTATAGAATATATGTGGCTAAATATTAAATTTAGCGACAACCAAACTTTTAATAAAAACTGTTGCAAAAGAAAAAAAAACAAAGCTACACATTTGGCAACAGATTTAGTTGTTGCTAAAAGATTTAGTTGTTGCTTTAGCTAGAGAAGTTGCTATATATAATTTGTTGCTAAGCTACTATATAATTTATATGATTTTTGAATTATTTTGTTTTCAATAAAAAAAATAAAATTGTAGAAATCAATTTAAAAACATTAAATATATTATAACTAGAAATCATAAATTCTCAAATATTTTACAATCAACAATCTAGTTGATAAACAAAAACTTAAATCTAAAAGTAAAAACAAAAGACATAACAAAAGTTCAAATCGAAAAACAAAAGATTTTGTTTGTTTTGTCTTTAGTTTTCGCTAGTAGACAAACCGAAGTTCAAACAAAAGTTCTAACAAAGAAAAGTTCCTAACACCGTGCCTTGGATGTTCATTAGTGTTAGATCCAGACTTATGCAACAGCAGCTGCCGCTTCAGTTAGCGATGCCTGGGTGTGGGGCTGCTGCTTCAGGTGGCTGCTCGGTCCCAATTACTGATGTCATATTGACTCCCCTGACTTCACACAAAGCTATAAGCTGCTGGCTCATAAGGTTGACAACTCCAGTCAGATTGATCAGATCTCTCTCATAACGAGCTTGTCGAGGAAGAACAACGGTTGGTGGATCAATAGGATCATAATGCCCCATCTGTGCAGTTCCAAGTCTAAAAAACCTTCCTTTGTATGCCTTGACTATCTACAAAATTATAGATCACAAAACGTAAGCATAATAGTGCTACTACAAGATATAGAACTAAAGTAATGTATAAGAATCCAAATTGACATCATTTACCGAATAAAAAGCTTCATCTCGCATTAGAGGTATAATAGGTGAGTTGGACCCTTGGCTACCGGCCTCATTATCATCGGCGTTAATGGGAAAGTGTGAAACAACAATAGACTCAACTTCTTCGACAATCTTCTTTGCACGTTTGTCTACGAAAGTGCTATCAATTTTCATGTGTGTCTTCCGCACTAAGTCGGTGATTGCTGGTTCCTCACCAAGCTCCATCATCTGCACTCATTAGTTATTGAAAATAGTATAAGCAATTAAGGTAACAAGAGAAAAAGACTCGATCAAACTGATAATAAGGGAAACGTAGAAAACAGAAAAAGACTAAGGGGCTCATCATTTTTACCATATCATACTTGACCTTGGCGTATGATTTTGAACCAGAAATATGTTGATGCATACCATCTCCACCACGGTCAGATTTACGGTTTTTTGAATTTGTAGTGCTAATATGAATTGCCTTATCTGAATCCCAATATTGCCACATCAAGTTCCAATTGGTGACAGAGACAAAGCTGGGCTTTTTGTTGAGTCTCTTTCCCTTGCTGATGTTGTTTGAGATCATCCTCCGAAGTTGTTTAGTCTACTGAGTCTTCACCAAGGTATGATGCTCTGAATCCCAGTAATATTTTTGCTGAAACGAGATTGAAGAACACTTTAGTTAATGAAAATTTTTCCAATGCCAAAACAAATGCTAGTTCAAGAAAAACGTAAAAATCTATTTAAATCTTACCACAAAATCAGACCACCATTTGTCTTGCTGCTCTTGTGGAACCTCACCAAGATTCCACCACGGGCCATCAAAATCATTGGTGAAAGCTCTTTTAATGTCATATTTGACCTCATTGTCAATCGAAATCCTATCACAACAAGGCAGAATATTAAGTTATTCAAGAAGAATACTAGTAGTATAGTTGGAATTTTATATATGTTTTACATAGAAATCTCTTACCAAAGTCTCAGGATGGAGAGTGGGCTGGTTACGTCTTGCAGGTGCCTGTAGTAGTTCGTTGATGCTACGAAGCGGAAATCCCGGAGGTGCACATGAATTACCAGCCCTTAAGGGAGCATGGGGCTCTCGACCAACATAACCTCTTGCAGGTAATCCGCCGCGACGTGGTGGATACATACTACAAGATTTGATACACATTAGAAGCACTATTTACTAATCATTTTCAAAATAAGTAAAATAGTCAATCGATTTCAATAGTAACAGATACCAATCAACAAAATATGATGAACATGATTTCAGCCAAAAAAGAACCCCGTATAATTAAGAACTAAATCATAAATCAATTTCAGTGTATAAACATAAATTTTAGTCTAAAACCCAAACTTTAATCAAGAAGAGGACCATTTCTCCCAGACAAATTGCAGAGATTCAAAGAAGAATTGAATCCTAAATCAATTTTAGCATAAAAAACAGCAATTACCCAAAGTCAAATTGCATAAAAAACTCAAACTAGAGATTTAGATAAGAATCTAACCTTAAAGATGAGTGGCTTCTCTGAAGCGAAGGGAAAAGCAGAGATGAAGAGATAGAAAGAGAGACTGAAATATTGTGTTTTAGCTGCCGTGAAATAGATAAGTGGATGATTGAGAGAGGGAGAGATTGACATTATTATAGAGTTGCAAAGGAGAGGGAAAATAATCAGCCGCGAAGAAGGAGAGGGAAAAGAATCAGCCGCCAAAGAGAAGGGGGAAAAGAAGATTTAGGGATTTAGGTTTTACAGAGCTGACGGGAAATGAAATTTTGGCCAAAAATACTGGTGGAAACCAAAAATGATGGCGGAAACCAAAAATTACGGCGGAAACTGAAAATTTTGGCCCAGATTTTCGTGAAAACTTTCCAAAAGTTTTGCGGACTTTCTAAATAACAAAAAATGCAAGTGTTATTTGCCAACAAGATTCATTTTTTTTTTTTTAATGTTTTCATAAATAACTACATTCATGTACGTTTTGATTTCTTAGTTTTAAAATTTATTATAGTCTAATATCCAAACTTCATTAATCATTATTTATAACTAGAAAATCTAAACTCCAAAATATATAGAAATTTGCGTACACATCTTAAATTAATTCAGCAAAAGTTATCAAGACTCATCGTATCGTAAGAACCTTCGCTTGAAGTTTCATAGTGATCTTCTATAGTAGGTTCTTCATCTGTTATTGGATCATCCAGCTCCATCTCATCGTCGAACTCAGCATTAACTGCATGTTCAGTCACATGTAATAGGTCTGCAGGCACGACAATTTGATTGTAACTATCATCTTGTAAAGCCGAGTCGACAAGTTGCGGAGAAGTGGACCTAACACCACGAGGGATTACTTTTGCACAAACCCACCATTCTTCGTTCCGTTGTTTAATACGAGGATAAGGGATAAAGCAGACTTGGTCTGCTTGGTCAGTAACAATGAAAGGATCATACTTTTGGTAGTGTCTCCTCGGGCATATATCAACAATGCCTGAAGGGTGCCTCCGTATTCCTCGTCCGGGTGTTTGATCAAACCACGCACATCGGAAAACTATAGTTTTAAGATGAACAGTACCATGATATTCAATCATAAATATCTCATTTATAAGATCGTAGAACTCTGAATCCGCTGAACCTCGAACACAAACTCCATAATTCATCGTTCTCTTATGTTGCCCATGGTCATATGTGTGAAAGTTATACCCTCTTAAGAAAAACATCGGCCATGATGTATAATGCTGCTTTGGTCCCTAGACAAACTCAAGCAACCACAAAGGAACACAACTACTTGAATCCTTATGTTCTAGATCATTTATCTACAATTAATTAGAATTTGGTATAATTATATGTAATTAAAGAACATGATTCAAATTAATTATAAAAGAGTGATACAATATGGAAAAATACTAAATCAAATATCTTCATTATGTGGATTTATTATAAGAATCTGGCCTTCATCATTTCACAAAATCAGAGGATTCTCATTTAAATCTAAAGAGAAATTGGTGCAAAGAAGACTTTTATTTGATTTAGCTTATTTTCTCCTTTTGTTTAAATGTAAATAATTTCATTTAAGTGTATTTATTTGTAAAGATCCTTTGTAAGAGCTATAAAAGCTTATTGTTCTCATTGTAAAAAATATATAGAAATTTTTGGATATTAAAAGAGATTTTTCTCTAAAGCTTTGGCTTTGTTTTTGTTTATCTAAGCAAGATGGAATTCTTCATTAGTAAACATTTGAATCTATGTCTCTTATGTGCGATGCCTTGAGACTAGGTTTGGGAACTCATCACAGGGGCTTCCACACCCTTGAGTGGCGTTCTTCGATCCACCCATCTATCCATCTCATCCACTAATCCAGCCTGAAAGAGACTTGAGTCCAGCAGATTGATCCCATCACCATCCACTTCGATCATCTCTTGAGCAAGTAGAAAGAGACTCCAGTCCAGCTGCTTGCTTCCACCCATTCACCCAACCATTTATAATATCATCCCATTGATCTTATATCATCTGGTATCAGAGCTAAAAGCTCCTATCCTCTATCTTTTTTATTTCTGTTTTGTTTTTGTTTCATGCTTTACAAGATTTCATTAAAAAGAAAAAAAAAAGTTTTGGTTGTTTTTATTCTTTAAATTTTATAAAACTAGAAAAAAAAATCAGAAGAAATATTTTTATGTTTTTGTTCTTTGATTTATGCTTTTTTATTAAAAAAAAACATAAAATCCATAAAAACCATTTGAAGAGGGAGAGAATGATACAAATATATATAAATTTTTGGAAATTAAAAGAGATTTTTCTCTAAAGCTTTGGCTTTGTTTTTGTTTATCTAAGCAAGATGGAATTCTTCATTAGTAAACATTTGAATCTATATCTCTTGTGTGCGATGCCTTGAGACTAGGTTTGTGAACTCATCACAGGGGCTTCCACACCCTTGAGTAGCGTTCTTCGATTCACCCATCTATCCATCTCATCCACTGATCCAGCCTGAAAGAGACTTGAGTCCAACAGATTGATCCCATCACCATCCACTTCGATCATCTCTTGAGCAAGTAGAAAGAGACTTCAGTCCAGCTTCTTGCTTCCACCCATTTACCCAACCATTTATAAGATCATCACATTGATCTTATATCATTTGGTATCAGAGCTAAAAGCTCCTATCCTCTATCTTTTTTATTTTTTTGTTTTGTTTTTGTTTCATGTTTTATCAAGATTCCCATTAAAAAGAACAAAAAAAAAGTTTTGGTTGTTTTTATTCTTTAATTTTTATAAACTTAAAAAAAAACTCAAAAAATGGTTTTATGTTTTTGTTCTTTGATTCATGATTTTTTTTTATTTAAAAAAAACCAAAAAAAAATCAGTATTTTTCCCATAAATTAAATTTTATTTCTTTCATTAAAAAAACAAAAAAAAACTCTTTTTCTATTTATATTTTTGTTTATTCCGATTTGTTTTTATAAAAAAAATTATAAAATGAAAAAAAAGTTTTATTTATTTTAAGAGTAATATTTGCTAAAAAGTTTTTTTTTTTAAAAAAAAATCAGTTTTGAGGATAAAACCATTTGAAGAGGGAGAGAATGATACAATATGGAAAAATACTAAATCAAATATCTTCATTATGTGGATTTATTATAAGAATCTGGCCTTCATCATTTCACAAAATCAGAGGATTCTCATTTAAGTCTAAAGAGAAATTGGTGCCAAGAAGACTTTTATTTGATTTAGCTTATTTTTCTCCTTTTGTTTAAATGTAAATAATTTTATTTAAGTGTATTTATTTGTAAAGATCCTTTGTAAGAGCTATAAAGCTCATTGTTCTCATTGTAAAAAATATATAGAAATTTTTGGAAATTAAAAGAGATTTTTCTCTAAAGCTTTGGTTTTGTTTTTGTTTATCTAAGCAAGATGGAATTCTTCATTTGGTAAACATTTGAATCTATGTCTCTTGTGTGCGATGCCTTGAGACTAGGTTTGTGAACTCATCACAGGGGCTTCCACACCCTTGAGTAGCGTTCTTCGATCCACCCATCTTTCCATCTCATCCACTGATCCAGCCTGAAAGAGACTTGAGTCCAGCAGGATTGATCCCGTAACCATCCACTTCAATCATCTTTTAAGCAAGTAGAAAGAGACTTCAGTCCAGCTGCTTGCTTCCACCCATTCACCCAACCATTTATAAGATCATCCCATTGATCTTATATCAAAGAGTATAGATAAAACTTACGTGATCTCTACACCACAATGCAAAATGTTTTTCTTTAGCCAATATCAATTCGCTATCTGTAATGCCTGGTTGGTGTATACACATATATTCCTCAAATAACCTACATATATAATATTACAAAATGATTAGTTGTATTTAATAGTAATTTTTAAATGTATTTTTATTTTATATATACCTTTCGTATGGCTCTATCTCTTCACAGTTGAGCAAAAGAAATGTATGTAAGATGTGAGCATCTTCTTCTGTTAACCATGATTTTCCACTTACTCTTCCATTAGGTTGAAACATAGTACGAACACCTGGATAATTGTACGTGAACTGAATTTCACCATCAGTTGTGTGATGATGATGTGAACCTTGACCATCTGCTGCAAAATAGTAAGAACAAAAATGGGAGATTTTTTCGGTGATACATTGAGCAACTATTGATCCTCCAATCTTTGCTTTGTTTTTTGCTTTCATCTTCAAATGATGCATATACCGTTCAAATGGATACATCCATCTGAATTGAACAGGCCCTCCTAATGCAGCCTCGTTTGGTAGGTGGACTGGTAAATGTTCCATCACGTCAAAAAAAGAAGGAGGGAAATTTTTTTCTAGATTGCAAATCTTCAGAGCAATATTAGCTTTCATAACTTCGACATCGCTTGTTTTCAAAGTCCTTCCACAAATGTCTCTGAAGAATAGCGCTATATCTGTAAAAATGAGTGTTAGTAAAAATTATTAACCAATTAGTAATAGACAATGAAATTAAGTCGCATTTGCCAAAGTGTCTAACAACAAGTAAAGTCAATATGAACAAGTATAATCAAATAAAAAGTCAAATTTGTTTAAATCATTCAAGTAAACAGCCCCGGCCCAAGTGGGGTGGGCAGAAGTGCACCCGCCCATGGGCCCAACCCATTTATTTTTGAAATTCTGCATATAATAGAGC